CATCTTGAGACCAAATGATTCTACCAATGATTTTCGGTTACCAAGAAGAGCATTTAGCTTTGCTCTTTTCATCTTTCTTTGTGTAGGGAGAATAAAGCATTTACTATTAAAATTTTCTAATTGTTTATGATATGGCACCACCTCAGAACAAAGTAAAGGAAATAAAAAAGATTAAATTATTTTTTTCTTAGTGATTTATGGATTTTTACTAAATAGCCTAGTAACTATTCATTGTATGTAATTCAAATTAAGTACATCATCGTTTTATGCAAAAAGTCCTTCAGTGACATTTTTTCTTTTATCAAATCAGAAAATTGTGTGCTTATTGTAACTATATTTGATTTATAAAAGTGTATATTTTATTTCCATGCTCTTACAGTGTTTTTTATCGCCTGCGATAAAAAATTGTATCAAACGAAGAGAAGAGACACAGCAAGACAAAGGTTTAAGCGCACTCAACTCCCCAAAGACTACACAAATTTAAAGCTGCTTCGAAACAGTAAGCAATCCGTGATACGCCGTGCAAAATCTCACTACTACCAGCAATCCTTATCCAGCACTCCAAACTCCAAAGCTATGTGGGCAATCCTCCATAAATTATCCTTAGGCAAACCCACCCAATCCCAGACTACCTCTATTTTAGCTGACATACTCAACACTCATTTTGTCTCCTGTTCATCCTATCCCTCTGTCCAAGCACCAGCTCCACCCCTCATACATCCCCCCTTTAATCCCAATTATTTTTTCTTTTCGCATATTACCCCTGACGACCTCCTTAAATCCATTTGTAAATCCCAAACCAAAGATTTCGGACCAGATAATATCCCAGTTAAATTAATTAAATCCTCACTTCTATCCATTTTCCCAATCCTTTATCATATCTATAATTTTTCACTATAAAGTTCCACTTTTCCCAGCACCTGGAAAACCTCCCTTGTTCATCCACTGAACAAAATCTCTAATCCCACAACCCCTAATGATTTCCGTCCAATTTCCCTGTTATCTAACCTTTCCAAACCTTTAGAACGAATAGTATAATCCCAACTATCCCAATATCTTGAACAAAATAACCATTTGAACTGCTTCCAGTCTGGTTTTATACCTGACAACTCCACTCATTCTGCCCTCATTAAAATCTCCCAAGTTCTCCATACAGCCATAGACCAACAGAAACTCACCATCCTAGCCCTTCTAGATTTATCTAAAGCATTCGACTCAGTTGACCATAATATCCTCCTATCCAAACTTAAAAAATATTTCCTTATCATCATCTAGTGGTCCCTTAAGTGGTTCCAATCCTTTCTCACCAATCGCTCCCAGTACGTTGTAGTTCCTAATAACCCTCAATCAATATCTCTACCCCTGTCCAGAAGCCTCCCATAAGGTTCCTCCTTATTCCCAATCCTCTTTTCCATCTGCATCAATGACCTCCCTTCCTCTATCATGCACTGTCTTTCTTTCAACCCGACAGATTCCTCTAATGCTAACCTGAAACTGCAACAAGACATCAATAGAATATGCAACTGGGCGAGTCTTAATAAGCTGACATTAAATACGGGGAAGACAAAAGGCATCCTGATCTGATCCCCCTTACTCCTAAAATCTATTTCAACACCTCCTAATCTTCTTCTGAACAACTCACCTATCTCCTTCCACACCACCCTTAAAAACCTTGGCATTGCCCTCGATCAAACCCTCTCCTGGAAACCACACATCTCCCAAATTTCCCGCCGAACTATATCCACCCTGAAACAGTTTAACCATCTATGTCATCTTCTTCCGTTCAAAACCCGTCAACTCCTGGTCTCCTCTCTCGTTTTCCCCCACTTCGACTATGGCTGCATGGTGTATGGTGGACTCTTGGGAGAACTCAAAGCTAAACTTAAACGTCTTATGAATTGTTCAATCCGCTTTATTTTCGGGATCTCAAGAGAGACGTATATTACCCAGTTTTACACTGAGTTGAAGTGGCTCTATCCGTCCTACCGCCGTCAATATTTCCTTGCTACCTTCCTATACCAGGCCATTAGAACACGGCGACCTGCCTATATTCTACAGATCCTACAATTCAAACGCTCCTTTCAATCCCGTCACACCAGATCTCATGCGTCCGACCTCTATCCTCCCCCCTTACCAAACTGTTGCATTTGATAAATCCTTTTTAATTCAAGTTGTCTCCCTCTGGAACAATATACCCTCAGATATTCAACACACAAAATCAATATCCTCTTTCAAATTTCTCCTCTTCAAACACCTACTCCATTCCCAATCTGATTGATCACGAAATGCACTTAAAAACCTAAGCTGTAAGAATTTCAAAGTACACCCAGATACTCTGATTATTTTGTAATTCATTGATATCTTGTTTACTAAATTACTTTCTCTGTTTATTTTATATTCATAAACGTTTTTATATGTTTTTATATCTATAATTTTATTGTAACCATCCTGTAAATACTAAACTGTAGTTTACGGACACACCAGAATATTAATATACTTTCTGTATTTGTAACTTGTTCTAAAGGGACACTAGTTCCTGAATAATAAAATTATTTTCTACAGAACCGCTTCAAATATTTTTAAAAGTAATCAGTGTTTTAGAAAGAGAAATGTATTCTCCAGATGTTTTATTTTATTTCAGCATGTTTTTCGTTATTGTTGGCTGTATACTTACAAACGACACTTGATTTTCATCTTGAAAAATTGTTTTTGTTTTTTTTAATTTACTTAACTTGTTTCTTCTATTGCCTAAACCAATTCTTTTTTAATATTTTTTCATGTTTTATTTTTCTCTGACTATCCAGCTGTAATAAAAGGCCAACTATGAAAGAATTGAGCCAAAGGCTGATTCTGAGTGACCAAAAACTAACCCAAGTCAAGGTCGTCTGTCCGTCATGATTGGACACCATTTCAGGGCAGTGTAGCCACTTTTTTTGTGGGAAATTGACTGTTTTTAATAAATTGTTACAAGAAACACAAGGATATGCAATTTATAGGGATGTGTAGGTATTTATAGGGTATATGTAATTTATAGGGTAGCAAGAGGGGGTAGGGGTAGGGGGATCTGGCCCACCATTTATTAGACCCATGTCCAAGGGTTCTAGCCAATGTGCCCTAGGAACCGAGAAAAAAATATATTGTACACATACTATAGCCGTATTCCAAAAACATATTTGGCATATAACATGTGTACAATATTGAAACAATTAGTACTTACCTAGGGAGTAAAGCGGATTAAAATATTTTTTTAAGAAAAAAAAAGGTTGAGATATGTGTTTCACACCTCGAGAAACCCTTTAATACGAATTTTTATATCAATAAAAAAAAAATTTAGCTCAAAATTCTGTCTAACTGATGCCATGGATTTTTTTTTTTTTTTAAATAACAAAAATGATGATTTCGAAATGGCTCCACTTATTCAAACAAAAATTAACATGAATATATAACTCTAAAAGGAATGAGCAACGTCTTAAGGTTTTTGAAAATAAATTATTATGTAGAATATTTGGACCAAAGAAGCATGAGTCAACCAGAGAATTAAGATGGCGAGCACTGTATCCAGTTAATATAATTGAGGTGATTACATTGTGGTGAATAAAATGGGTGTATAAAATTATTGGGCTTAGTAGCGGAAAAAAACAACCTAAATAATTAATATGTGCTGTGCCGACTGTTCAACGTCCATTAGTAGACTGAAGTAAAGGGGGTGAAGATTGCATTAAGGGTTATCTGGCTGGTCTGGATTTGCATGGTTTGTAGACAGCAATAGATGGTATGCATATCGAACTTTAAGATTCGCTAAGCCTTTAATTATTATTATTAGTTATTTCAACTTAATATTAAAAGTATTGATATGGTTTTGAAGAGCAGTAATTTAGCTTTCCAGCTGTTATAGTAACGTTGACTAAGGAGAAAATCTTGAGGAGTTATGAATATTTTAATGAAGGGTATGAAAAAAACCCTCCCATAAAATCAAGTCCAAAAATTTATACATTTTATTTAAAAAACAAACTCGTATTTAATAGTTTAAGTGAACGCTATAAACGAATCTGAATAGTTTTTTTCATGACAAAAATTCACTTGGCCTGTTTTACTGGAAGCATCTTTGAGTTTTTGTAATTTATTATACATTATAATTCATTTAATATTCATTAATATTCATTTAATGTTTTTCTTATTTTACATAAAAAAACAAATCAATTGATATATAATAACTTAAAAATCTATGCAGAGCAAAGTCAGAAAACATTAATATAAAAAAATAATAAAATTTATAAACAATTTTTTCTCGGTTCCTCAGCATATTGGCAACAACCCTCAGATATGGGTCCCATATTTTTCGACCTACTATCACCAAAAAAAATTTCATTGAGATCGGTGACCCCATGTCAATAACCTCTACTTGTTAGTTTTTGAACACCAAATAAGTCTCTTTTTCTCCATTTGGGTTTATAATAGTAAAATTCACTGGGGTCACTGAAATATTCATACCATTGGCTTCTATGAATCCATTCTTAGCTACAAATTCTCAAAAATTTTCCTTCTTTTATTACAAAGTTATTTACTAGACTAGTTTAAAAATTTTTTATTAAGTTAATTATCAAGTGCAAGTTAAAAAATTTTATATCTGTAATTTTTGAGTGTATGCGATCTTTAAAATTCATATCTCTTATTATTAATGAATTATATTTATCTAATCTTAAATTTTGTGTGCAATTATCTTATATGTTTAAAGCATTGAAAAACTCTATTGTTGGCGTAAAATAAACATTTTTTTTTAATTTGATTTTCGAATAATCCTAGTAATTTGCCAATTAAAGCTTAATTTTTATTTATATTATAACAAAAAACTGTTATAATTATTTTTTTTATTTGTTCAATTTAATTAATATATGTTGAAATTGATTGTTCAATAATCAAATTAAAAAATATTTAAGAAATGAATTTTGTATTAATATAAATAATATCATTATTTTCTTTTAATTTTTCTATTCCTTCAGGACGATGTATTCCACAATCATGGGTGTGTGATGGAGTAGCAGACTGTCCAGATGGGTTTGATGAGCCTAAGTCATGTGCTGATACAGCATATACCTGTGAACCAACATATTTCAAGTGTCAAAACAACAAGTTAGCAAATATATTTTATAAAATAATAATTAAAAGCTATTCAAATTTTTGTAATTTTTTTTATTTTTTTATTTCAGATGTATTCCTGGTAGATGGAAGTGTGATTATGAAGATGACTGTCATGATAATTCAGATGAGATCAACTGTAATCCAAGAAATTGCAGTGAATCAGAATTCATGTTAGGACTAAATATTGAATCAATCATATCTATTAATTTTGCTATTTAAAAATGTTGGAGCATCTTAGATTTTTTAAATCCAGATCAGCCTTAACACAGTCTTTCTACCTTTGCTTCGGTTTACTAGGAATTCTGTGGTGATTAACAAAATACTACTAACAATTTTATTTGCCACAATGTAATCACCTCAATTATACTAACTGGATACAGTTCACACCATAACTACTTTCTTTCTTTTTTTTCGGTTCTCCCCTTCCTCGCCTTTAAGGCTATACGGGGTTTTTCCGGGATAGGAAGTGTGGGCGGGGATTTAAATGACTCCTCTTGCACCCCTCCCACTAACACATTTTAATCACCTTAATTTTCTGGTTGACTCATCCTTCTCTGATCCGAATATTCTACATAATACTTTATTTTCAAAAACATTTCAAAACTACAAGAGGATATCGACTGCATCAGCAGATGGGTTGAAAGAAATGAGTTAAAGCTGAATGGAGATAAAACTAAGGCTATTCTTATCGGGTCCAGATATCTCATTAGTTCCCTTCCCTGCTTTATCTCAATAACTGCCCCATCCATTTTTTTCCTACAGTCAAAAACCTTGGAGTAACCTTTGACCAGAACCTCTCCTGGAATAACAATATCTCCCAGATTACCCCCAAAATCCGTAACTGTCCTTAAACAACTCCTAAGATTCCATGATTGTATTCCTCTAAAAACCAGATGGCTCCTTGTAACCTCCCTTATATTCTTCCACTTCGACTACGGCTGCTTGGTGTATGGAGGGCTATCTGCCAGACCACTAGCGGATCCAGGATTTAATTTTGGAGGGGGCTTCAGCCCGAAAGCTTTTTTTTTCATAAAAGTAACGATAATTACTTTGGAAAATACGAAAGAAGCTAAGTACCTATATGAACCGGTGTTTAAGTGATTCCTAAAGCCCTTTTAAATGTAATTACACGAATAATTATACTTTAAGAGATAATTTTTTAGTATTTTTTCTGATAAAACATGGTTATATTTTACCATTTTGGGGGGGGCTTCAGCCCGAAAGCCCCCCCCCCCTCCCCCGTAGATCCGCCCGTGTGCCAGACTAGAAATGACATTAAAGAAGCTCATGAATTGTTTCATAAGATACATCTGTGGGATCCCCAAGTGTTCCCATGTTTCATTCAGGTACACTGAGTTGAAGTGGCTTTATGCTACTTTCCAACGTCAATTCCTCCTTGGTGTTTTCCTTTTCCAAGTCCTCAGAACCTAAAACTCTCCGTACATCCTGGAACTCCTTACTCTATGTTCCTCTATCCACTCTCTCAATACCAGGTCTCAACCTATAGATTTATATATCCCCTCTCATAAAACTTCTTCCTTCAGCAAATCCTTTGTTATTCGTGCTGCCACCTTATGGAAGTCACTCCCTACCTCCATGAGTCAATCCTCGTCGACAAATTCCTTCAAACAACTCCTGTTCCACCACCTACTCCACATTCAAACTTCCGCAAACATGTAAAATTACTTGCATCTTTACACTGCTTAATTTCAATCTATTGCACAATTGAAATAACAATTAACATTAAAATAGTTTGTATTTTTATTATTATGTCAGACTAAGACTCATAAGTCTGTAACTTTGTTATTATTCTTAGGGGACAGTAGACCCAGAATAAAATTATTTTTTCACTTCATTTCATTTCAGAAGCAGCAATTCACAGATGTCATTCTATTCTTGATTTCAGCGCCAATACCACTATTAGAGTTTATAATGCATCCAACGTATTTAAAATGGTCCACATTTTCAAAGGCGTACTCTCCAAACTCAACCATTTCCTCTGGTCATGTGAGCTGTCCTATGTTCATGTTCTTAGACTTGGATGCATTTATGATCAGTCCAATTTTCTTTACCACGCATTCTAATGAAAGGAATGATTCTTCTATTGTCATCTGGGACCTCCCAATTATGTCGAGTTTGTTTGCATATCCAAGACTGAACAGTTCTATTCAAGATTGTATCAGAAGTTTAAATCCCAGAATCCTTCACAGCTCTCTCCTGCCTGATGTTCAATAAAAGATACGCAAGTGCACCTCCTTGCCTTACTCCAACCTCTGACCTAAATTCTTGAAAATATTCATTTTGTATTCTTACAATACATTTCCCTCCAGCGATGGTAGTTCGGCACAATGGTACAAGTTTCCTTAGTATACCAAGTTCAACCATTGACAACAACCCGTCTCTCTTAATAATGCATACGCACACTTGAAAAATAAAAACAGATGGTTATCCAATCTGCTCAGTGTGGAAGAGTAGTCTGATATAAAATATTTGAATATTAGAAGCATTCGTATTAGAACACACATTTTCAGAAATATGTGATGTGTCCTAGCTACACTGTAGGCAGATCATGCAATTCTTTCTCCGTTAGTACAAAGACTTAATGGCATGCATAATATATTAGTTAAAACATCCGCTTTTTTTAACTGGTAGTCTTCTTTGAATAGCATTCTCTCCTAATCAGGCCTCTTGGAACAAATAATTCCTCTACTTATGCAATTAGTATCCTCTGGAACATATCTATACATGATTAAGTTTAATTAATACAAGATTAAGGATATTTCTCCATAACTTTTCATAAAGTTAGATATTGTTTCAACATTGGTATTTGTGCGACCAAAGAGATTATCCCATTTGCAATCCATTTTTCTTCATTCTCAAAATGACAATAGTTTTTGTTGATAGATCTTATTCTGTCCATAAAACTGGAAACAAAATGTATAATTTACAGGTTGTATGATAAATTGTTCAAATATAAAACATTAAATAATGTACATTTACTTTATTGGTGATAAATAGTCAGGACGCAGTCATTATACAAATTTTTTTACTTTGACAACGTTTCATCCCAAACAGGTGGGTCATCTTCAGGACTGAAAATTTTAAAATACAATCAGAGATATAATATTATACGACCGATAATGGTAAATAATAAACTATAGTGATTGATGGTACATGAATCTTAACTATTATTATAATACACAATATTAAAAATGAAATATGTAAAAAGTTATACAAACTAAAAATATTATATATAATCTATTTTTTGATGCCAACATGTGGTTATTTTTATTATTTTGTCACCATATCATAATATGGGGCGTCAATTTTATTTTGATTATGAATAACATAGGTTATGTATTTTATTCAGTTTTGTTTCCATATTATTATGTGACAAACTCTTTTATTTGTATGCATTTATACATCTTTTTTTTTCCTATGCCATAGTCATTGGTCATTCGACCATCCGACATCTTGCTGCCCAGTTCGTTACATATGTATATAATCGTTTACATATGTTTTATTCCTAATATCCGACAAAGCAGGACATTTGTTTAGGTGGTCTGCATCCATTAACGTAAAGTTGTCTGGGCCTTGAGAAAGGTAAAACTGGGCGTCTGGCGACTATGTGATCGTTGGGTTGGTTATCCAGGGGCACGACCAGGAAGAGATTACAACACCCCCTTCATTTATACAACATTAAATATTTCGTTCACTACAAATACGTTCCAGCAACAATGTTTTCGGCCACTTCCGGGTCTGCCCGCCTCTTGTTGTATCACTTAGTACCGAAGGTAAAAAGAAAACATTGCAAGCTCAGTATGGTTGCTGGAAGCACTGATATAAGTACTACCTCCCTGAGGTTCTCTGTCCCATCACAATTCTTCCTGGCAAACCCGTTGGTTTCATCACACCAGGTTGTGACGGTGACTTCCCACATCTGGGACATTATTCGCCTGCACCAGGACTCCCGCCAGCTGCAACACTGACGTTTAAACAGAGTAATATGACCGGCCAGCTGGAGGTTACATTTTATTTTTAATGTATAAACAGTTTTAAGGTGAGTGGCGCCCCTCTAAAAACATTTAATGAGCCCACGGGTCTCCAGTTTCAATAACTAAGAATAAAAAACATTGTTTTCATAGATTTACACCTCACATTGAGGTTGCACATATAGTTGTACAATAGTTCATTTTGTAACATCTAAGTATCTGTAGCCTAGTGGCTAGCATCCTAGCCTACAATAATTAACATTCCTAGTTCAAGACTGGTCTCACTATATATCGTTTTTTTCTTTTTTATTATGAAAAAATATCAATTTTGAATTTATATAAGTTTTTTGTACAACATTTCAATCGATCCATTTAATTTAACAATTAAATTAAATTCATTTTTACTAAATAATAATAATAAATTAAATTCCTTCATAAATGTCTAATTCTAAGGTTTCTTTCTTTTGTTTAGTACTTTAAGACAATTTTGTTTCTCTATTTATTTTATTATTTTTTTATTAAGAGAAATAGTATTAATTTATTCATTCAGTTCATTTTGTATCATGCATTATTTCGTTTATTATGTTTTTTTTTAAATATATACAAATTACTGCTATTCAGCATTTTATTTTATACATATTTATCCTCAATGGATTTCATAATTTTAACAGTTTAAAATTAATTAATTAATAAGGCAACAAACAGTGGCTATGGATTAGGTAAAGCAGATTTGGCAGTTCACATTTGAAAGCCCGCTGCCTCCACACTATTTATAAAGATTTGTAATATTTTCTCTTACTAAACGTGCTTTGATCAAACGACCTAAGCTGTATGAGGCATTGGGAGAAATGGGTATCCCATGCAAACTGATACGTCTCGTGAAGTTAACAATGAAAGATGTAAAGTATCAGGTACGGATTCAATCTGACTGCTCTGAAGCATTTCCCTCCAACAAAGGATTATGACAGGGTGATGGACTTGCGTGTCTCCTCTTCAATCTTGCACTGAAGAAGGCTGTGCGGGATTCAGGAATCCAGATGGACCACACGATATTCACCCGTACTGTACAGATATTGAGATGCGCTGACGATTTGGATAGCGTAGCCAGGACCTGATTGGCATTGGTAAAGGCCTTTAAGAAACTAATGGACGCTGCTTCAGCCATGGGATTGGCCATA